AACAAAATAAAATAAAATAAAATAAAACAAAACACAGCAAAAGCAGAATCACTGCGGCCCACAAAGCAGAGCCCCCAGCAGCTCACCCCTCCGCGGATGTCACCGCCACAGCCAGGACGTGTTTCGGCACCGCACGGCCTGGCCGGTGCCCCCCTCCCTCCCTCGCCCCCACGCCCGGGGACAGAACTCACGTTGCTGACGCCAACCTCGGAGGACTCCAGGGAGAGGGAAATTCTGTGGGGAGGGAAGGAAACCACGTCAGACGGCGAGGCGCCGGCCAGGGCTCGCAGGGCCTGTCGTGACACTGACAGCCCTGTTGTGACAGCCCTGCACCCCTCGGAGCAGGTCCTGTCGTGACAGCCCAGTCTGGATGCAATCTCTGAGCTCTGGAGCATCCACAGCCCCTCATCGGCCATCGCAGCCACACAGCCATCTCCATGCCTTGAACCTGTGCTTTATTTCCACATTGGGTTCCTCTCTGTGGCTGCTGTTGCTGCCGAACCCCGTTACACCTTTGCCTATTGATTTAAAAGCCCTTTGGTGCATTTCTATCCCCTACAAACCAGGCCAATTCTGCTTCTAAATGCAGCTCCCTGACAAGTTAAATAGCTCGAAATCCTCCGGCCTCACGCCGCAAGGATCGCTCCCCCATCTGTAATCGTACCCTGACTGGCATTAACGACAGCCCCTGCCCTCGCCCCGTTATCACTCATGTCCAACACGCGACATTTCAAAGGGCTGCCCGGGATCAAAGGCAAGCTGACATCCCCACAATTACTCAGCTTTCCTCAATTCTCCATGTTATAAAAGCGACACACATTTTTCCCTCCCATCTCCTAAAACTTTCCCGCTGCTGTAACATCCCCTGAACGTCAGCGATGTCCTCAGCCAGGCGTGAAATGCTCAAATTCGGGAAGTTAAATGTGTTTTACAGGCACTGAAACCCATTTCAAGGTAGCAGCCCCCCTGCTAATGCGACACCGCAGAGCACATCCCCAGCTCCACATCACCGAGGGACGCTTGTTATGGCACTTGAGGTGTCCCCAGACAACTGCACCCCACTCCCTCCGCTGTCCTGCTCTCTTCTGGCCACTGCTTCCCCAAAAACCGACCCCATGCCCTGAGCTGTGGGGCTGAACCTGACCACCCGCTGTAGGGACACCCTACCTGCCCAGGGACACCCCCAGCATCAGGCGGCCCCCAGCCAGCGACAGCACGGTGTCCAGGCTGACGTCCTGCGAGCAGAGGGGAGAGGATGAGCCCGTGGGGATGCCTCTGTCCCCCGTTTCGCCGGGTCAAGGTCCCCCGTCCCCCGCACTTACGGCCTTCAGGAGCAGGAGGGTGAGGCTGGGCCCGCCCGCGCGCTTCACGAACACCCGGATCAGCACCGAAACCTTGATGGTGGCTTTGTTGTCTTCCAAGAGGATCAGCGGGTTCCCCGCCAGCGTCAGCTTAATGCTGAGGGGACCGGGCCCTCCGCAGGCTGAGCACTGTGGGAATTGGGGACACGTGGAGGGAGCACCCCGTGTGCTGGCCAGGCAGGGGCCAGGCAGGCCTCTGGTGGACCCTCAGCCCCACGGCTCTGCAGGGCCTCCCCCAGGGCCTCCCCTAAGGTCACAAGCAATTTTTGGACAAGTCAAATTTACGGAGAAATAGGGCTGGCAGAAGGGGTCAGCACTGGCTGCAGGCAATAAGGGGCTGAGGAAGCAATAGCGGGCACGAAGGGGGCTGTGGCCATACGAGGGTGCCCGTGGCGCCAGGGAACGGGAGGTGCCAGACATTTATCAGCAATTTTGGGCAACGGCTGCAAGCAAGGACGCTCCCCTGCTTGGGGGGCAGGAGAGGGCTCCTGCAGCCAATGGCAGAGGAGAGCGGGCACCACAGGAGCTGGGCACCAACATCCGTCCCTTTGCCCGCTCCCAGCATGGCAGCCTTGAGCCACACCGGCACGGCTTGGCCATGGTGCAAGGGAGGGGAGCAGGAGACAGCAGACATTTGGCAGCAGCACCCTGACACATCCAGGAGCCCCTCCAGGACAGCCCCAGTGAGGTTTACACAAACCCTGGTCAGCAGCAGTCGCTCACCTCCGCAGGGATGAGGGCGGTGATGGCTTCCTCCAGGGAGCTGGCACCGGAGAACTGTCAGAACCAGAGCATGGACAGCCCTGCTGAGCGCTGATTTCGGCAATGCCCGTCCCGCTGGGGCCACCCTGCTCCCACTCATGTCCCTATTCCCAGCCAGCACCTGAACCCTTGCTCCCTGTCTCAAGTGAAGCCCTGGGCAGCTCAGTCACAGCGGATCCATGGCATGGTAGCCCTCGGCCATCACCATTGCCCCTGGGCAATGCCCAGTCATGGGAGAGCAACCAGCAGTGGCTGGAGATGCAACCCCAAGGCTTTCAGCATTTTCCAGTGTGCAGACCCCTCATATTTATCGTATCAGAGGTACAGAAAATGCACACGCCTGGAGAATCACACTGCATTTACAAAACTGCTTTTCTGGGTGGCTGAACACCACACGCAGCCTGCGCCCCGAGCAGAGCTGTGGTCCAGACACTGTCCCTTGTCACCTCCCCTGGCCCGCACACAGGGGCTGCCACACTCACGGCTTCGGGCGTGCAGGTGAGGGTCAGTGGCTGGATCTGCAGTATCAGGGACAGGATCGCGCTCAGGAAGGATGGGCGCAGCACCAGGACCAGCAGGTTGTTCAGCAGCGGAGGCATATCGGAGGGGGACGAGTCGTGGGGGATGACGGTGCCTCCCACCTGCTTCACCACCCCCTGCAAACAGAGGGGACATGGACGCTGAACCTGCCCTTCGCAGCTGCTTGGACCCAGAGCAATTATCTCTGTATTTATTTAATAGAGGAAAGGGGCTGAGAAAGGCCAGAGCAGTTAACACACTTTGCCCAAATCGCAGCTCGCTGCTGCATTTCCTCCTTGGGATTTCACCCCAAAAGCAAATGAGCAGTGAAAGTGCTGCCAGACCAGTGGTCCCAGTCAGCCCAGTGGTCCCAGCCCAGCCAGGCATGAGCCACCCTCAGACCCCACCATAAAGTCGCATCGAGACCACCCACTTGCAGTAAAAAAAAAATAACCCCTCAGCTTGGTTTAGCATTTACACAGCGCAGAGACTGAGGAGAGAAAGCACAGAGCTGTAACCAACACCCATTGCAGGCAGGGAGAGGAGAGGATGGGAACTGCTCACCCCGGCAGTGACCAACAACGGGCTCACAGGTCTCGGTGTAAATTTGCAAATAGAGGAAGAAAGAACTTGAAGAAAAGCACACACAGTGGGGATTTGGATAAGGATCTCAGTATTTAGCCAGGGTTTCCAGAACAGCCATTAGCCCAGCTCCCACACGTGGTTGCGCTGGAAGAAGACAACTTACGTCTAAATCCAGCCTGAGGAACAGGCTGGAGGCGAAGGGCAGGCTGGCCAGCTGGTAGTGAATGGTTCCTGCTGTACCGACCGGGATCACCGCTTCACAGAGAAAAACCATCGTCACAACGTTGGGGAACACACAGCAACACCAGCTCCTGCCCTGACCCCACAGCCAGACCCGCTCGCTGCTACTCAAAGCGGGCAAAACATCCCCAAATTCTGCTCTGTGGGATCTGCCTTTAGAACAGAGCCCATGAAGAGCATTAAAGCCCACAAGCTAAATCCAAGGGTGATGGATACAAGCGGTGTGAGGAGGACCAAGGCGTGAGCAGCTCTTGGACCGTTTGGGTGTGGGTGCAAGGCTCAGAAACAGCCCCACAGCCCCCCCCAAATGCACCCACGGCCCAGAGGTGGGAGAGGAACCATGGGGACCACAAGGACCACGGGGACCGTGGGGATGTGACACCTCCTCCTCCTCCAGGAACCCACCGTTGACCGTGTCCAGCAGCCGGATGTTCACGACGCTGAGGATGATATCGAGAATCGGGCACAGCTGCAACGCAAAGCAGAGATGTGAGGGCTTGACCCCCCTGCAGGGACCCCTCCCCAGCCCGCTCAGAGCACCCCCTTCCCACCCACATCCCCAGGGACATGGCACCATGGGGCACAGGGACATTGCAAAGGGCTGGGGACAGCGGAGCATCCCCGGGGCTGCGACCTGGGAATATTTTGGCATCACCCTGCAGGCAGAAATGCACCAACAGCAGCCGGGCTGGCCATGGGTATCTACGTTATTGACCAGGCTGGCAGCACCAAATCTAATCACAGAATCACAGAATCCCAGACCGTTAGGGATTGGAAGGGACCTCAAAAGATCATCCAGTCCAATCCCCCTGCCGGAGCAGGAACAGCTAGATGAGCTGAGCTGTCAAATCTAGGATATCTAGGGGCACTGAAAGCAGCAAACTGGGGCTGTTTCATTTTCCATGATGTGGATCCGATGCCAGAAAATGCTCGGGCATCTCTGCCAAGCAGTGCTGGGAAAGCCACGCGGAGACGGTGCTGCTCGCTGTGACCTTGTAACGCGCTGTTCCTGATGTTTCGGTGTTTTGGCTATGAAAGGAGGGCAATCCACAGGCTTACCATGCTGGGCATGGTTGTGGTCAGCTTGCTGAGCACCAAGTCATTCACTGACAGGGACAGCAGGCTGGAAAGGAGGGAAACAACCACCGATCACTACAAACAGGGCTCCAGGATGGAGACCAAGGATGCGCAGTCGTTGTTTCAGAGCGGGCAGGGGCCAGGAGCCTCCCCCCTGGCAGAATTGGGCTCATTTCTGAGAATTTGAGGGGTTCGGCGCTTGGGGCGCGCAGATGAAAGGAGCGCATCCTGCATTTGGTTGGCTCCTCCTGTACCAAAAGCCGCGCTGCAGCGAGGGGAGGGTGAGGCTGGTACGAAATCTCCGTGTTAGTTATGGGAGACAATTTATACGTGGAATAAAAAGAGGAGAAATCCGCTGTGTAACATCTCAGCGCTGCTGCTGAACGGATCACCCCGGGGTGTGCAATGCCTGCAGGCACTGCAGAGCCATTGGCGATTGATAATCGATAAATTTCTGGGCTATCGAGTCAGAACGTGCAGCAGCACAAGCAGTGAGGTGCAGACAGCAG